AAAATATTTTTGACAAAATTGCTCAACCATTTCATCCCAAGAGCGGATAAAGCTGGGGAGCAAAGTAGTATACCAAGTATAAGCTCTCTATCGGAGAGAGATTTAGAAAACTCACATAGGCACGAGTCTTTATCACCGATGTGAGCCCCTATGGCACCGAGGAACTTGCTGACATTCTTTACACCACTGCCCTTTCTCTTGTCATATAGCGGGAATGTAGGACTTCCATAGTTTTTTGGGTAGGGCTTGGACAGAATCTCCTTTGGATAGGGTGGATCATGGATGAATTGAAAAGTGGTTAAACTTTGTCTAGAACGCTCCTTGTCCAAGAGAGCAGTAAGATCTGCCATGGTGACGAAGCCTTGAGTAAAGTCGGTTGCATTGGGTGGAGCTTTAGCGGTGTTGGTGGCTGCGATTGCTGGTGGTGTTGTGTTATTGGGCGGCGCAGCAGAGCCCCCAATTTGGACTTTTTGTGGTTGGGACACCCCAGCCATGTTTACTGGTTGTGCTAGATCTTGCACAGCATGTTGAGTTTGCAAGTTGGCAAACAGTTGAGTAGTTCTTTGTTGATTCGTGTAAGACCTAAATGACTTGCACCAAAGATGCAAGGCTTAGATTAGTGATTCCTTGCAAGAGATCTTTAAAAACGTCTGTTGATGGACATGGCTATTGAATTTCCTGTCCATCATCTTGGCCAGGTTCTTGATTTTTGTCAACAATGCGAGATGAAGTTGCTTTCGTGATAGGCATGATCAGAAAAATTTTGTTGAAGACGAATCAATATTGTTGAGGAAGAATACTAAAGATGATATACCGCTAAAGAAGAGCAGAACAAAACGAAGCTCTAAGATGACCTCCCCAATGGAGTCGCCATTTTGTTTGGGGGTGTGTTGGTGATGTAGGTTGATGAGTCAGCAGTGGTGATGATGTGGAGGTTGATTAGGATGTCACCTGTGAATGATAAAGAGGGTCCTTTTGGCAATGCTTGTTTCATGTGCAAAAGGCTACATGCCACAGGCCATCTTGTTTTGTCCAACAATGTTGGTCAGCAGCAAATTCCCCAACACAACACTCGTTTCACGTGCAAAAGGCTACATGCCATAGGCCATCTTGTTCTGCCCAACAATGTTGGTCAGCAGTAAATTCCCCAACAAATTCTGAAGGTGTAAGTTTTCCAGCCAAGCCAAGAAGGAGAGTTGGCAGTGACGACAGAGTTCCAAGATGTCCAGTGATGTTGGTCAGCAACAGATTTCCCAATAGAGTCTAGAAGTAAAGTTTCTCCAACAAAGTCCAGAAATGAAATCTCTCCAGCAAAGTTCGAAAATAGAGTTTCTCCAGCGAAGTTGAAAAATAGCGCTTGTCCAACAAAGTTTGGAAATAGAGCTTCTCTGGTGAAGCTCGGGAATAGAGTGTCCCTAGCCAAATTGATGCCTCCAGTAGAGTCTGAGAGTGAACCTTCTTCAGTGAAGTTAGAAGAGCGTTTTGGGGGCTTGTGAGTGGAGGGCTTGATCTTGTTTTTTATGCTAACTCTTCAGCTTGAACCTTTGATACTCATTAAGATAATTTAGAAAATGAATCTGCAGTATGCTGTTTCTCAGCCATGATGTTCTGCAAGTTTGAAATTGTTTAGTAGTGTTGGAAGTGCAAAAAATATGAGGAAAATGGTGATTTCTAGGTAATTTCAATGTGTAGAGTGAGTGGGTGAGGATGAATTATTTTTCAGAGGAAGAAAGGAGGTCTGGTACTTGAGAGGGAAGCTGAAGTTGTGAAAAATCTGGTCTATTTTTTATATCTCCTTGTTGAAAAATGAAGGAAAGATAATATATATGGCTAGTGGCCTTTTTGTAATTTATGGGTTGATGGGGTAGAGGTGCACAGTGGCCTAATGGGTAGATTTGGGTGAGCTGTCGAGTTTTGAGTGGTTCTAAGCATGACTGATAGCTTTTTGGTAATGATATTTTGAATTAACTAGTGGTTTTGGTGAAGTACCACAAGTTCCAGCAAAGCATTGCTGGGTTCAGCGAAGTACTACTAATTTGCTGAAGGCTATCCATTTTTGATAACTCTTCAGCCATACGAAATGCCATTTTTGGGGGATAATTGAGTGCAGTCGGCAAAATCAAATCTGCTCAAGATTTTGGTAGATTTTCCCAGCAAAAAATCAGATCTTTTTCAATGGTTCCCAAGGGTAGGGAACTTGTACAGCCACCCTTTTCAACATTTTTCAACACTGTATAGCCACCTTTACATTGAATATGGTTGTAAGTTGTTGATGGTGACCAAAACAACATCTTTGGTTGGTTTTGAATGAGATTCCAAGCTTCTAGTTAGCATCAAACAGTATAGTTTTGGGGATCAAGTCTGCCTCCATGTCTTTGCCACCTTGCCTTTTCTAACAAAGTCGGGCAACATCAGCAGCGCCAAGCTTTGTTGGTGCGAATACCTTGCTTTGCCAGATAGGCAACGTTCATTCATCCATGCCTACCAAGCCACTACTCCCATATTTTATCTTGAATATCCCCATGAGCTTAGATTCATGGGTTTATTGATGACCTGCATAAAGGAATAGTGATCAGTTGATGAAAATGATGAAATTTAATAGATAAGGAAATAATAAAGGAAAGAGACTTCCTTATGTATTTTTGGCGATGCAGCTATGTACTGCAGCATTAGATATTGCTGGGACTTTTTTTGCATTTTTGGCGATGCAGTTATGTACTGCAGCTTTAGATACTGCTGGGACTTTTTTTGTATTTCTGGCGATGTAGCCATATACTACAACATCAGATATTGCTAGGCCTAGGCATGTGTTGTAGCATTAGACACTGTTGGGTCTAGTCATGTAAGTGCACGTTGACGGCATTAATGGGTGCTTAAATCAAGGCGGGTCTTGGTGACGCGGAAATTATCCGAGTTCAAGTTTGACCCTTTTACAAAAACATCCATCAACAACAATTATTAATTAACTATTTTGGCTTTTAGGTATTGAAGTTTATAGACTAGAAATAGAATACTGATTCTCATTAAAACTAAATTCTTGTTATTATTTAGCTCTCTTGATTTTTGGAATTTTTGACACATTTTTTTGTCTCAATGTGGTTGAAACCAATCATAATTGCAACAATAATGGATAATACTAATGTTGTTGAGGCACTCATTTCAACAACTACTCCCATTGAAATTGTTCCACAATGGAGTGTAGTTGGATTTATGGAACATTTCAATTCTTAAGTAATAAAAGTGGTGTTTGAAGGCTCAAATATTCCTTATCTTTGGTTGTTGGCAATTTTTACCTTCTCTCCTTTCATTTTCCTTTTTAAAATGAGAATTTAGAGTATAGGTATGAAAACAAATAATTAGGCTTGTTGGTACGGCAAGTCACATAGTGTTAGGACTATTCCCTCTATTAATTTAGTTGCCCTGGGTTGACCATGCACATATTTTTATGTAATTCTTTTTTATATTATATAAATAACAATTATTATTATTAATTTTTGTTAAAATGAAGCTACTCAACAAGATCTATGTATATGATTTTTTTTTTTTTAATTATCATTCATATATCATAGAAAAGCATTACCTAAACATACGTGCATGGCAAACTAGGACAACTAAATTGGAATGGAGGGAGTATATTTTGCTTGTATCCATAATTCCTAATCCATTGTGTCGTTGACAATTAGGATTCATGGGATATTGTTTATCCCAAGGAAAGAGAAGGGATATTGTTTTCTCATGATGATAAGAGTTAATATTTATTAAACTATATGTAATTTTGCTAACTTTAAACTTATTGAATTGATCCTTTCTAATCACAGATTTAGTTCTATTATATAATTTATACAAAGATTCACAGTTGACTAGGTGGTTTTGCGCTCTATTTTATCTGTTACTATTAGTTAACTTATATAAAGATGCCATATATAAGGAAAAAAATTTCTGAGTATTTCCTTGGAATGTTAACATTTTTTTGTGATGGAATTGAAATATATATTGCAGACGATGACGAAATTAGAGGAACACTCTTTAATGGCAAAATCAAGGGACACGAGGCTTTTGTGAGAAATGATTATCATGATGCAATTTATTGGTACGCAGAGGTAAGTTTCAATGTTCTTTTTTCATATAATATACCTTTAAAATTTTTTTATTATAGTACCATAAAAGACTAAAAATATCCTTGATTTTTTTTTTTTTTTTCATTAACTCAGAATTAAATCCACTGAGTAATAACGTGTGCAATTCTTGTCACTTTTTAAAATAACCTTTTAA